ACTCATTTATGAAGTTTGTTAACTTATTAATAGTAATGCAGTATAAAAAACATTCTTAGCCAAATCTGAAAATTCTGAACTCATTGGGCTGAAAAACAATAGCAAAAATGCTTATTTTCAATTAGCTTTTGCTTTGATTAAAGAGCAGTTCAATCAATGTTAAATACAGTTACTTCCTTCATTGGTGTGATTTCATAATAAAAAGGTCAACATTTTTCTGTTTAAATAAATTAACAACCGTATAGAAAAAAAAAAGGTGTACCAGTAGTTATCCATGTGCCAAATGAATAGTATTTCAATAAAACTGTAATTTCAAATACAAGTCCATCTGTTCCCTGCACGCATTACATACAATTTTGGTTAGTCCCTTTATATAACGCAAAGGGCAGACGAGCGCAAGCCTGCAATCTGTTCAAGAACGGGAAACACTCTTTTTTAATCACCCAATATCCAAAAGGAGTATCTTGGGAAATGCAAATGTTATTTATATTTAAGTATTTGAATTGTCACACTTTGTGTGTGCACAATTAGGCAACGCACATGCAAAATGAGTTTGCAATCACATCTGAATTTTGACAATATGCTAATACCGTTGGTCTTCAGACTGAGTCCTTATTGCCAGTCTGGATTTCTCTCTGCATCTCATCACACATATAGAGCAGATGTACATGTCTCATCAACTGTAAAAGTGGGCTCTTTCTGGCAAGATGTCACAAATATGATAAGACTTGACATTAAGTTAAAATGTATATGCATGCTGCTTTTTCCATTTTAAAGTTTCTGTTTTCAGATCAGTTTTCTATTCATATTTTCAGCCTTTTTTTTCTCTTATGATCAAAAATGTTCCTTTATGATAAAATTTTGGTGCAAATTTGCTTATTTTCAAAGGATCAAGCCTGGAAAGTAGTTATCAAAGTACACCAGGATTGTTGTCAAAAACACTGAAGCTCACTACATAATAGTTTATACTGAAAAACAAACAAACCCCTGTTTATACACCTCAAGATCATTAAACTAATTTCATAGATTTATTTTATGAACATAATACCATAATACGAATGGCAGTTTTAAACCACAGGGATTGTGCTTATGGTAGGTTTATGGTATTGTCTCTTGGGAGAGAGTGGCTTTAACTTCAACTAACACATTTTACAGATGAAATAAACTATTTAGAAAAACAAACAACCTTGCAAGGCGTTTTCCCCCTGAATTATCTCATGTTTATAGCAAATTATCTCCTGTTTAGCGAATGACGGTCCATGGGGTTATATTGTTTGTGTGTGTGAGCTTCACCCTTTCTTTCTGTATGAGTCACAGAGCACTTTCTCTGCTGGCTCAGACTACTGAACAATCTGATTACTCCAGTTGTCATTATATCGAACGATTTAAGCTGAACAACAGTGCATGCCTCCTGAGTCACATCCTCTACACAAACCCGCACACATACCTCATGCCTGCTCATATCCGTCACTGAGTCATACCTGTAGAACACACACATATTAGGAAGAATAGACCTTGCCGAGCTGAACCCCCTACACACACACACAATGGTGAAAGAGTAATGCGCTACTCAAACACATACTTTTGCAGAATCATAACTCATCAAATTCAGCACACACCTGTCATTCATCACTCAAACCACATATCTTCCCACTCACAGATTTTATGCTCGAATTTATTATCTTGCATCTTTCTCTCAATTTCTATCTTCATCTTTCCTTCGCGGTTGGTGAAAAAGAGATGGTAGAAAGTCAGGCAGAGGGATATAGCGGGGTGGAGGGTGAGGGATGTGCTGCATTCTTCGGCAGGCATTCAGTGGGGTAATGTGTTGGTATGAGCAGTATGTGGCGATCTGCCCGAATGGCTTCCAGTGCTGCTTTAAAAGAATCATAAAGTAATAATAAAAACTCTGATCCAGATAAGAACAAAGATTTAAGTCTATAGAAATGCAGAACTATCCAAACAAACACATTTATGCCTGCCTAGTTCAATAGTAAATATTATGTGCTTTACTTATATAAATTATTGTGTGCATTATGTGGTGACAGTATAAAGGTGCCTGGAATATAGCAGCATAACATCAGTTTCTGTTAATAAAAAAAGTTTGAAAACAAGCAGCATTGTCATAATTACTGCAGAAACTCCAGAGGAAATATCTTAGCCAATATGAGGGGCTTTTGAATATTTTGATGGACAAAGGGGGGCAATTCAAGTCAAAAAGGTTGAGATCCACTGATCTTATTTGTAACCTTAAGACAATAACTACTCACAAATTATGAGTAGATTATAGCTTGGCAAGCTACTATTTCTAAGTAGCATCCCAACACTGATATAATGAGATTGGCACGTAACCAAAAATAATTCAATTAATAGAATAATGAAAAAAGCTATATTCACAAAAATATTGCATTTGCCATTTTCTGTGTGTTGTTTATACCAACTCAACCCAAAATATCTCATAAACTTTTGATGGAGACTCTTCTACTAAATTTAGTTAGACAAAATTTAGTGGATCAAGCATGGATAGATCTTGTAGCTATATTTTACCATTTTGAAGTGATACCATTTTTTCTGTCTGGTGCAGTCGTAACAACCTGGAGCTGAACACGCTCAAAACAGTGGAGATGATTGTGGACTTCATCAGGAGAAACACCACAGCACTCCCCCACTCACCATCATGAACAGCACTGTAGTCTTTCAGTCATTCAGGTTCCTGGGCACTACCGTCTCTCAGGACCTGAAGTGGCACAATCACATTGACTCCAAAGGCCCAGCAGAGGTACTACTTCCTTCGCCAGCTGAGGAAGTACAACCTGCTACAGGAGCTGCTGATGCAGTTCTACTCTGCAGTCATTGAGTCTGTCCTCTACACTTCTATAAAGGTCTGGTTCAGCTCAGCTACCAAATCAGACCACAGAAGACTACAGCGGATAGTCCGGATTGCTGAGAGAATCATTGGTACACCCCTCCCCACTCTCCAAGCACTGTACTCATCCAGAGTGAGTAAAAGGGCTGGCAAAAATCACACTGGACCCCTCACATTCAGGCCACTTTCTCTTTGAACTGTTGCTGTCTGGTTGGCGCTACAGAGCACTAAGCACCAGAACAGCCAGGCACAAGAAAAGTTTCTTTCCTCAGGACATCTACCTTATGAACAGTTAAATGCCCCCATTGGGCAATAAACGTGCAATACAAAACACTATTTATAATATTTATTTAGCACACCATACCTCTTATTTACATTCCCTTACATTTGTATATAACATATTACCTGTACATACACATTGTCTATTTTGTATATTGTATATATTTTTCGCTTGTCGCTGTCATACTGTCTGTGCTGTGGAAGCTTCTCTCACAAAGACAAATTCTTCGTATGTGTAAACATTAGCGGTGTAACAGTACAACAGTCAGTTTTGGCGTCACGGTTCAATGCAATTTTGGTACAACAGGAAAAAGAAACAAATCCCCAATGCTAGGTTTCTCTTCATTCATTTTGAACAGACATTAAGTGCAGATTACAGTTTGTTCCAAATGGCGGAATTTAGTCCCCCCTGAGGCAGAGGTAGGTGACAATGGTGGATGCACAAAAGTTCAATATTACGCTTTTTTTCCAAGAAATCACGAAAAAAGATGAGCGACGAGAAAAAGTGGTATTATTTGAGCCTACTTCACCTTTCCATGAGGAGACAGCGAGTGAAGCTGAACCTGAGGCTTCCCATTTCCAGGACACGCCGTGACACTTCAGTGAGACTTCCACGACACAAATCGTCTCAATACCAAATGATTTTGTCTCATTATAACAGCGAAAATAACTTAAAATATTAAATAAATGTTATTTATGGTCATACAGATAAGTGTAAGACATCATTCAAAACTAGGTATAAAGGGTCTATTTTGTCTATTTGTGTACACTCACAATAAAAACAAAACATTGAGCTTTTGTAAAATAAAGAAAACAAACAGAATGCTGCTTTCTGTCGTCCTGATTTCCTTTCCGTCAAGTTTGGCTACTAGCAAGCTCTTGCGTGCCATTTGAACTCTTGTTTTAGGTTGGTGTGTACTGTGCAGATCCTCTTCTTCTGCTCTTTTTCCTGTTTTGGCGGTTAGCAAACAGTGTTGCATTACCATGTACGCCCCCTTCTGGATTGGAGTGTGGATCGCCTGTGACTGACTGTATTCATTATCTGACTGCATGCACCAAACCGTGATGGTTCAGGACGAATACATGTACAGTTGCACCCCTAGTAAATATATTTGGCAATAAAAGCTTTCTGATTCTGACAAACCAATCTCTGAATATCTTTGAAAAATGCCATGAACCATAAACTTTGATTGAAAAAGACTTTGGATTTGCCAAAGTTCTCCTGATAAAAATCAGTGCATCCTGACTCCCAGAAATTGCATAAAACCATCCAATCAAATTGGAGCCTGTGATTCTAAGAAAGCCTTTGCCACAAAGAAGCTGGTTATGATGGACACTAAATGGATATTAATAGTTTTTCATCACATGTCCATCTGGAGATCTCCTCTAACATAGACAGGATAAAGCCTGCAAATGGATTGCACTGTCTTCATCAACATTTTACCATTATAAAAGTGCATCAGGGCAGCCAGTGCAATGAGAAATGTGTGTCAATGTCAATTGTGGAACAAAAAATTTATATACAAACATTTTTCCGACCATAAACATTTGAACTATATACACACAGTATAATGCAGTATGAAAGTTCAAATAACAAAAGTGTCAGGGAAGATTGTGGGAATACCCACACTCAGCACAATATATTTTTTAGCAGTCCATTCAGCAAGCCAATTAGATTTTATTGGATTCTTTGCATGTGTTGTATTCTGAGTATATGCTGATGAACTCTGGTAGGAGATAGAGGGTTTATCTGTAAAACAACAAATTATATGACCTTCTTCTTTAGATAATGTTGCCCCATTGGATGTTTGTGTATTTTTCGTCTGTGTTCCTGTATGTGTTGTGTGTGTGTGTGTGTGTGTGTGTGTGGTATCAGAGAGGACAAACCGCGGTCAATAAATGGAAGCAAGACAGAAGATGAAAAGATGGAGAGATGAACAGACAGAAGGATTCTGCAGTCCTGAAGCAGAATGCAAAGCAATGCAGCTGAACTCATTCAATCACCTCTCTTCCCTTCATCTATTGAAACGGACAAGGATAGATAGACTCTCAGTGTGTGTGGGAGCTCTGCTCTCTGCCCATTCCTGCATCAACTCTGGTCCGCCTGGGTCATCCGTCTATTGATGGCTGGAAAAGGATGAGCGATATGAGGCGGAGGAGTCAGTCTGCTACACTAACCAATTTCTCACTGGTGAGTGAACTTGGCGAATCTTGGCAGGAAGACGCATGGAGTGTGTCTGTCTCCTGCCCTGAGGTCCAGAATTCACAATGTGGGTGTTACTATTCAAAGAACACAGGCAGTTACGGTTGTTACAACAATTGCACAAATGTTACAAAATTCACACAGCGTCTGGGTGTGTGCACACGTGAAGATACATGTCTCGGTGACTGTGCTGGATAAACAGCATTTGAGAACGATCAATAAGTGCAGCAACAGTCGATACTCGTTGCTTCCTCTCTGACAAACAACATGTTCTTTTCTCCTCCATCTATCTCGATTTCTATTCTTCTCCCTTGTGCCAAGTCAATCGCTCCATCTTCCGTTTCCTTTGTCTTTCCCCTTGTCTCTCTCCTTTCCACCCCCCACCCACCTGCTTGCTCTACTGCAGTGTGCTCTGATTGGATGAAAGCTTGTCTCGAACCACTTTAACTTTGTCCGAGTTGGTTATACTATTGGCTATCTCGAACAGGCCTGGGTGAGAGAAAGAAGGGAGGGAGGAGGACATTTCCCCTCAGTCCCGTACCCGCTGCAGGGAGGGCGCAGTGGGCATGACTTCGCAAGCAAGGCCCAGGCAGACTTGTGGCTTGCCTGTATAGGACTGGATGGAGCCGGATCGGCCTGTTTGGCCTGGAGGCCTTTAGAGATTAAGGTTTATTTGATTGGGCACATCCATGGGCAGCTATCCCATGGCAAAGATGGGCCCTAAGAGGGTGCCAGGAGACTGATGAGTCATGTTTTCACTTTCTTGCTTAATGCACAGATGTGCTGAATCCTGATATGATTACTGTTGATTCAGAAAGAAAATACTTTTGCAGGTTTTCTATGACCTCAGTATTTAATGGATGCCTGTTTCCGTCTCAGAGTAAATTGCAACTTTATTCTCATAATAATACTTTTTATTTCAAAATGAGACTTTATTTCTCACTTTTGCTACATCTCACAATTGCAACTTTATTTCTTCCAAATTGTGACTTTATATCTCACAGTTTTGACTGTCTAGTAATTGCAACTTTATTTTTCAAAATGTGACTGTACATTTTGCAAATGCAACTTGATTTTTTCAGAATTGTGACTGTTTCACAGTTGCAACTGTTTCTCATAATTCCAATTTTGCATTTCAAAATGCATCTTTATTTCTCCAAATTGTGATTTTTGTGATCAGTGTCGCAACTGTGACTTATTGCAACATTATATTTTGCGATTGACTTAAAGGACAAGTTCGGTATTTTACACTTAAAGCCCTGTTTTAAGATCGTTTCTGATGAAATAGAACAGTTAAGATTGAAATTTGGACACATGCTGCTGGCCCGAGAATTTTCGGTTTCTGTGGTTGCACCTCCCCCCCTCCACAATGGTTGCATAGGTGCACTGGAACAATCCTTCCTAAAACGCATTAAACTTTAGTTTACAAAGACGTGAAACTCACCGAGTGGTCAGGGGTGTTCACTGATATGCTCACACAAAAATCGCCGCAAAAGATGCTTTCCAACAGGTTTCAACCACAGAAACCAAAAATTCTCGGGCCAGCAGCATGTGTCCAAATTTCAATCTTAACTGTTCTATTTCATCAGAAACGATCTTAAAACAGGGCTTTAAGTGTAAAATACCGAACTTGTCCTTTAATATCTCCCAATACGACATGCTATATCTTGTGTTTCTCATTAATGCAACTTTATCGCAATGTGATTCACTATATGACATCATTTGACTTTACATCTTGCAATTGCAACTTTGTGGGATAATAAAACATTTAGAGAAAGAAAGTCACAGTTACAAGATAATGTCACAATGCTTTTTGTGACATTTTGTGTTATGTAACTATCTCACAATGTAACTGTATCTTGCTATGTAACATTTTTTTTTTTTACTCTCAGATGGAAAAAGGCTTCCATAATATTTAGCTAATTATGTACAGCGATTGAATACACGTTCGTGCTCTCCACATATTCTGTAAGAGCTGGACAGTACACAAAAGCGAGATTGTAGTATGTGGAATACCTTTCCAACTATAGGAGCACACTCACACATGCACAACCAAATTATGATGATCATATCTGGTTGACTCATGAATTGTGACTATAGAGGGGCGGTACCACCAACCACTCCCTTTTTATAACACTGTTCTGCTGGGTAATGTTTCGAAGACAGCTCCAACAGGACGCTGGTGTGACAGTCTGCCACCTGCAGGTTCACTACAGAACTGCAACCATGCATATCAAGGGACATTTCACATTGCTCTTACCTCTTATGTGGGAAATACACAATTCCATGTTGAATTTGTAGGTTCATCTGTAAGGGACATACAAAAAAAAACTCAGTTTAGTGAAAGAATTACAGTCAAACCTTTAAAGAAATGTTTTAAACTGTATGTCTCATGAGTGTCTCAGAAACAGAGTGTCTCATCTTTACTCTACCCCCCCCCCCCCCCCACCCCCCCACCCCACCCCACCCTACCCTACCCTATCTCGATCCCTTCATTTATTTCTCTGTGTACCCTAGAATTATTCTTTTCTCCTGTTCTAAATCTACCTTAGTCCCTCCCCCCTACTTTCCTCCCTCCCACGATGTCCTCAAATGCCCCGGCCTGGCGCCCTGTTTAGCTCATGTTGGTGCTTTTCCTGTCTGTGTGTGTGCGTCTTAATGTTTCAGTTTTTCCTTGTGCTTCACTGCATGACAAATATTTACACGTTTTTATTGCCAAAGCAAAAGTGGCTAAGACAATCATTATTAAAATGAAAGAAAAAGGAAAAAATATATATATCGTAGGTAATTTATTTCCCTACTTGTAAATTGGAGTTTTTTCGTTATTTGGAATTGTGTCAAATTTGTTTAATTATGTTGGACTTCATTTCACGCACTTCACTCAACTTCTCGCATACAGCACAGAAATCCGGATTCGTCTCATTTCCTTTTTTTATTTGTATTGCAGGCAAAGTGTAACCTTTTATCTTGTAGAAGCTATGCTTTTCTCTTTTTTTCCCCTCGATCTCCGGTTATTCCCTGCTTCCATTTTAATTAACGTTGTATCGCTCTCTCTCTCTCTTTCTGATGAGGAAGGGGGTGGGAATTGGGGTGGATATCCGCATTGGTTGCCATGGCACCAGACAGCTCCATTTCTACCAATGCACATGAGTAAAGTGTGTGTGTGTGTGTGTGTTTGACTGTGAGACGCTGTGCAAATTGTGAATGTCTGTGTCTTAGTCTATCATTCAGCTATACTGTGACTAATTCATGAGCTACATTTAGTTTTTTTTGTTTCCTAAAACAGTCAAAAGTTCAATGACATTAAAAAGAGGCAATCAAAACTTGCCTACAAGCCAAGCAAGAGTGTTCATCTCGATTTCATGTTAGTTTTCTGAAGATGGATTTAACCTGTTTGGATTTCACTATTTTGGGTTGGTGTTTCGCTTCCATTGGGGACTATTATAAGAGCACATCTGCTGCAAAGCTTTCTATTCCCCTTAGAGCAGTGTCTCTTATCTGTTGCTGGCCTTATTCTGGCCTTTTCTTTTCTCTCTTCCCAGAAGAGGGCACTATTGTTTCACAGACTCCCTTTACACAGAATTCTGAACTATGACCACGGATCTGAAGTCTTCAGGTTCAGCGTTATTGATCATGTAGCCCTTGATACTATGAGCTGATAGTGATTATTACAGTGAGAAACTAAACAAGCATGTGGATACTGACGTGTGATCAAGTCCTTTACAGGAAAAAAAGCAGGTATAGGACAGATTTTCCAGAGAAACATCTAACACTGAAAAACTCTTCATGGGATCCACATTTAGCATAAATTTTAAGAATGGGAAACTACGAGAAAAAAAACATCCATATGTTTATATGTTTCCATATATTTTTGTAAATGTGGAGACTACACATTACATAAATATACTGTTTAGAAATACCAAGATGCAAATTAAATACAAGTTAATATAATATTGTTGATTCAATTGTTTTTGTCTTTTTGGGAAAAAACAAACAATGAAAAACTCATGTGATCCACATTTAGCATAAGCAAATTTTTAAACGCTGGGGTAAGAAACTGGGGGAAAAATACGTCAGTCTGGGTTTCATTTGAATTTGTGAATTTAAGGACACTACATTAAAAAAAGTGTTTGGAAATACCAAAATGCAAAAAACATACATAAAATATGCTTGCTTCAGGTGGTTAAAGTATTTTTCAGTAAGAAGACATGCATATTGACCACGATGACTACACATTTACCGAATAAATTCCTAGATAAGCATCACAAAAGCCACGTGTCTTTGCCTCAACAAGTTTGTGTAACTGAATAATTTGCTCTGAGAACAAAAAAGAAAAGATGTTTCTCTGGTCATTTAGAAATGTTGGACCCAAAGCCAGTCCATAAACTGTTTGCCAACATCTGAGAGGAAGTAGCCAATTTCCACAGAATTGATGATTTTGTTTTCTCAAGCATGGGGTTTGAAATGTCACTTTTTCCCTTTGGAAATGTTTTATGCGACATTACTTTTTCTCACCTAAATTAATTTTGCAACTTGGATGTAAACACAGATAATAACTGTAATAACTGAGCAAGGCCACAGCTTGCTGTTTTCTTGGAGCGTAGGCACTAAACAAACTTGCAGAGACCCATTCAAACACACACGCACACGCATACTCTACAAGCACATACATTGACTAAACTACAGTGTAAGCGTACGGTACTGTATTGTTGAAGGCCTTCGCTTTGAGGATGATCCTCTTCACCAAGTTAAACAAAAGGGCCTCTCCAGCGGCCTGTAAGACAAACACTCTTCCTAGAGAAAACACTGACAGTTACACTGTAACCCATACTGCGTAAGAGGACGCCCGCGCATGCACACACACAGCTGTGCAAATGCCCCATGGAGAGGTACAACTATGCGGATGTCTTGAGCCCAGAGCAAAGTAAAGACAATAGAGCCTTTGACAGTCTGACTGTTTCTGTATTACACTACATCTCTCATGTCTCCAATTTTCCCTGTAGTTGTCCTTTCTTTTTCTCTTTGGCCTCAGACTTTCATATAATTTATCTTTTATAAAAGTAAATTATTTACTCCACGAATTTTCAGAAAAGTATACATACCGGTAGTTCAATTAGTTTCAAATCAGTTCAAAAAGGTTGAAAATCATTTGACAGATTTACACACTTGAGAATTTTATTGATCCTTCTATTTTTAGCTTTACTAGATAGGTTAGAAAGTCCTCGCTACAGGAAGGTTTAAAAGGAACATTAAAGCTCGATTGACATAACTTGTGGCATAATGTTGATTACCACAAAAATGTATTTCCACATTACATACTGTTTCAATAGTATAATCGCAAGATGTAAACAAAGCGTGTTAACATGATTTCAGTTTGAAAAAAAAAAAAGTTAAAAAAAAAAGTCTAAAACCTTAAACAGGACTGTAAACACCACCACAAACACTTTACAGCTCAAACACATTTTAGCTAAAGAATTGCTTTTATAAAATTAAGCATCACTTTTCTTTTGCTTTTAAAACTTAAAAAATTGACCCCATTTACTTCAATTGTAAGTGTCTAAATGCAAAAGTGTAATTGAAAAAAAAAAGGTTTACATAATTTTTTTTGTGGTAATCAACCTTATATAACAAACACTGGATTTAGATTAACTTAGAATATTTCTTTAACTGGACAACACAAAGAATCAAATTGTACAAAACAGCTGTGTGTTTTTAGAGAGAACGAACTGGGTTTCCACCCTAAGAGGCCTCTCTGGGTAGGTGAGTAGGTTAATGTATGTCTTTGAATGTATGTGCGTGAGCACTGTAAACATACAGTGCCGCTCTGAAAACGCTGCACCCTGTGACCCTGGAAACTGCTGCAGTGCAACAAGTTCATTCATATACATGCGTACACATACACTCAGTGGAGGCCTCTCTGGGAGGAAACACACATGCCTTCTCCATGTGACACTGCCAGCACACACACACGCGCATATGTTTGGCTCCTTCCTTTCCTGAGCGGCAGACAAATGCAGGGAAAACATGGACCCCTTGCTGATTATTGCGCTAGTAAAAACATCATTTCTATCCATTAGGGTGAAGTCATGTGTCCATTCTACATACATACAATGATCATGCTGAAAATGGACTAGGTTTGAATTTAGAACAAACACATGAAAACAGTTCTAAAGGGAAACCGCCCTAGACACTTCTTAGTCTAAACTATCTTTTGGTCAAATAAGAGACATTCTGTGGCGTTTAGTGAATGGTGCATGGGAAAAAAAGGAATGAAGAAAAATATCCCTCAAAGAGTTCCTTGTTTGGACTGTGGCCAGATGTCCTGAAACTGTATCGACATACATGTTGCCTGTCAAACTACATTCCAGACCGGTTCTTTCTCTTTCTGGCTTTAGAACGGACACCTCGGTCATTTACCTGTTTAAGAGAACCCACAGCTCTTTCATCGTTACTGGCATTCTGGCTTCTCAGTTAACCACTGAAATGTATGTCATATGGGGAGTTGGGTTTCCAGTCTCACATTTTGTCATATTTTCTACCTGAAAATAGGAAGCCTATAACAGGCTATTCCAAATGTCTCTTCAACCAGATTGGTCTAAACATGGCCAGAATAGCATCTTAAGTCAATCAAAATGTATTATAGTTTTTTAATGCATCCTCCTGGTCTTATTATGAATGATTTATCAGAGTATGTTATTATTGAAAGAAAAAAAAACTGTATTTGTAATATTTAAACAGTAATTTTTTTCCTTGTAAAACAACTTTCCCTTTTTTCACGTCACTAAGGCCTTGCAGGCTATTGGATACTGTCAACAAACAGAAAAATAGCTGCTTGGGTATTGCAAACGTTTATTCAGGTCTGTAACACACTTTTTATCATCCAATCAATTCCCAATGGACAAAAAGTCCCACTCCACTTTTCTTTTCTCAATTAATATTATGTTTCCCTCAGAAATACACACTGTTAACATCAAAATGAATTCCCGTTACTTCCATAATGACGTACATTATAGATTTAATGTGTTGTGAACAGCATTTCATGTTGACTAACGGTTGAGTACAGTGTGTGTTTTGTGCGCGTACACTTGCCACATGCTTCTCTGGACTTCTACATATGACAGTATGATAAACACAGCGGTCACTTAGCTTTCTTCAACTGCTTTAGCTAACTTTCATACACAGTCTCATTCTGTCATGTGTAATGTACACAGAGAGGCACTCTCATGTTTTGCTAAGAAATGCTGAAACTCTAACGATGTGTTAAGATACATTTCTGCTGGATAGAGTAAACAAAGACAAGGTGACTG